ACTTAACCTGGCTGAATACAGCAGCAACCTTCTTGGACCCCGAAATGTTTGGTGAAGAAAATACGGCCCGCGGGCTATGATAAGTTGGACAGCGCTGTTATATATGAATCAATGAAATGCTGCAATAATTTAAATCAGCATAAATTTTGAGCTTAGGCTTCAAGCAGATTGCATTTTATCAAATCATCATTAAGTGGGGTCTTACTGTATACATATATATATAGTTATTCAGAATTAATACAACTTATTTGTTGTCTGGCCTTCATGATAATGAATGCACACAAGAGAGCGATCTTAGATCTCATTTATATCTTTAACAGATATAGTGCAAATATTCATTCTTCAATTTGGTTATTAACCATCAAGGAAATCACAAAGATGTGTCTTTCAAAATTGCAACCTACTGTAACAATTTAGGCAGAATTTTAAATAATTTAGTTCTCTCGTAAGAGTTCCTTAACCATCGATATTATTTCTGGCATATGTTTTTGGTGCTTGTGAAGAATCTTTGTTTTAAAAACTGTTTTTAATTTCAATTTTTCTGGACTTGGCACCTTTTGCTAAAATGCAAAATGTCTCATTGTTTTAAAACCAATTCCTTCAGAAATGCTCAACTTCAGCAGAACCTAATTAATTTCTGGTTTTTAATAATTCCAAACTACTAAAATATTTATAATGTAACGATTGTTATATAAGGAGGAGAGAGAGCCTAATTTATGTACGGGCAGGGGTCAGCTTAAGGCCGACCCTGCTTTACATAAATTGGACACAACACAACACACATTAAAAAACAGCTATAATCTTATAGCACATTGCTTATCATCATCGATTCTAATAAAATACAATATCTCCAAGTAAGTGTATTAATTGATAATTAAGGCATATAAAATTAGTATGTATTGATTTTTTAATTAATTTCTCACCTCATTCACACCAGCTTTGAGGTGGGTAGGAGATATCAAAAATTTGGCATTAAGTATTTTTTTACTTGGAATAATAATATTATCCATTTAAACATAACAAGATGAGTAAATAAAATACTAAGATTGAAAAGCATTATAGATACTTTGTTACGTCAATAAAAATATTCTCTTTGAAAAAGAACAAGTTTTGGTAGTTTAACATATTTTGTATAAACTTTAACCAAAGAAGTTGTATAGTATCTTTCAATTATAAAAATAAAAAAAGGTCTTATGAGATCAATTTGCACAGCACCAACATTACAACTACAAATCAGCACATAAAATTCGCATGCTTCATACATATTGGCTTCTCACACTTAAGAAAGCAAAACATTGCTGTTCAATCTGTTTTTTAGTACAGTCACTACACTGCCACCCCCCAGTTACTGTGACAACAATAACATTAAATAATCTGTGTTTAAAATCTCGGGTATGACATACCCGACCTCACTCACGCCGGGTTAAGTGAATAATTTCATATTATAGCTTGTATAAATATAGAAAAATATGTTTGCATTTAGAATAGTAGTTTTTATGCTAAAAACATACCAATGAAAGTTTAGCAATAAATTACAAGTCTAAAAACAGATGTGTTTATAATTTTAGGTTAAATTAAACTTAAAATTTACCAAAATTAAACCTATAGCTACAGATTTTTATATTTTTAAATGATAAAAATTAAAAAACTTTTAAACTAGTAGATTAATAATTTAAACCTGTGTTTATAATTTTGTTACAGTCATTTTTAAATTGCTCTTCTTATTACTAACAATAGAGGACAATAATAGTTTTGAAGTCAAATACAGTGGCAATTTGAAAGGATTGCCTCATGGTTGCAGTCTAACAGAAGAAGAAATTCACGAATCTGCTGTATGTCTGGCCATTTTACACCAGAAAGAATATTACGGAAAAATTAAACGATCTAGTAGGCCTAAAAGCATTGCGTGACTAACATACATAGATGCCAAGTATTTAAATTAACAACAAACAAAAACATGTCATCAAGAGAAGCTGCAGCTGATGTACCAACCAAAGTATCATACATGACTGTCTCATTTTTAGGAAGGTTACAGTTAATTTTAGTTTGAAGAACTCTAAATAATAAACCAAACAGCACCAATTAGATAGACTTGGGACATTTTGATGCCATTGTGAGATTTCAATGGGCAAAAGAAAAATAGTGTTTACAAATGGGGGGGAAATGGAATTTAGTAGGACCAGATGGCAAGTTACTGGCATGACTTAAAAAAATGAAAAGTGGAAATGAGTAGACAGCAGGCAGGGAGGAGGCTCTGTCTGTTTTGCCCACACCATTACTTTGTTTTTATTAGTGGTAAAATGAACTCTGAAATTTATCAAAAGATGATCTATGACAACTTAATAACAGTATTTGCACCAATGGCACAAATGTAACTGGAAATTGCAACAGTACATACCTCAAAATCAACAAAACAATGGTTTGAAAAAGAAAAGATTGAGGTAATTGATTGGTCATCTAGAAGTGTAGATCCACTTCTAGATGGACACTAAAACAAATCAGTTTAACAGTGTAAATTACGGAAGGGTGGGAGGTACTAATTGAAGAAAAAATGAGTAAACTCAATGCCAGATAGAATATTCATCAAACGCTGGGAGTTCAAAATAGTATTAAAACAATTTTTAATTGTTATCTTTTAATGTGTTTATAATTTCGTTAGAGTTAAAATCTAAAAAAATCGTATAAACGATGTAATTTTTTTACACTTACGTAAAACTTTAATTTATTACTTAATTTTGTATAAATAACAATAAAGTTTTTAACTAATTAAAAAAAAAGGTGTGTTTATACTTCTGTTACTGTACCGTCTGTAATCTCATCTTACCAAACTTAACTACGTCTTCCGAGAACCAATTAGTGCTAATTTATACAGTACGAAATGATCATATTTTACTTAAATAAATTAAAATAACGATGAATACGAATGTGGATTTCCACACAGTTACGAACATTCATTTAAAANAAAATAGCTTAATTTCGAGGGCAGAAACCGAGTTTTGTAAAAATTTGCCATTAAGTCCGATCTCATTCGAGATACATACGACTCCTCCTATAACCTCTCCCCCTCGACCTTTAACCACCAAAATATAATAGCATCCATCCTCCTAATACACAAATATCCTGGCAAACTTTCAGAAATTTTCGACGAAAAACACGGGAATTATCAAGCTTCGAAGTGGATGAACAAAAGCGTGCCCCCAACATACAAACACACAAAAAAACCACGAATTCTCCGCAAAAATACGAGTCGAAAGAAATTCATAAAAAAAAGGCGATCGATAATCGTAGGGGCAAAGGGAATTATTACTTACGAGCGCAACAAAATAATCTATATCGTAATCCTCCTCTTAGAAAGTTCTATTAACGAATTAGTTTTTATCGTGGCTTCAAACAGGTGAGGGTGTTTTAAAAATTTCCATTTAAAATTAACAAATAAATAAGAAACGTTTCGGTCGAAGTAAAACGAAAGAAGAAAATTGTTTAAAAATAAAATATAATAATGATGCCGAATATATTTTTTCCGATTTATTTAATTCCTTCCATTCGTTATTTCCTACAATGGTATAAAATCCAATTATAAAAACCAACCTCCGATTGGATGCGCCGGAAGTCCGGGGAATTATTAATTCATTAAATTTAAGCGTTGTATAAAAATAACAACATTTTTACGGCAATTCCATTCGTTAATTATTAAAATTTACTCCAAGAAAATATTAAGAAATCGCCCGACACTTCTATCCCTTTTACTTGTTAATTCGTAAAATCGTGCGCCTTATTTAAGCGTTAGATTGTTATTTACTATTTCTACAACTAATTTAAATCAATTTAATAAACAGGGCGGAGGAAACATCCTCACATTCGCCTCCTCTTCCCCACGGCGTGACTATTAATTTAAACGCGTAATAAACTAAACCATGCGTAAATATAGATGAAAGCAATTAAAAACAATTCTAAATTAAGAGGCCGTTGCATTTAAAATCCCGTATTTTGCCCGTTGAAATTAATCATGAATTTTAACTCCATTCTCCTAATTTCAAATTCGAATGGAAGAACCAACGGAATTAAAATAATGGCCGCTTATAAGAGTAATTAAACGAGCGATTTTTAAGTTAATTTTCCAAAAATTCCAGTTATTCTCCGCAAAAATAATAATTTGGCGGGGGGCCGCTTTAATAACTAAACGGGAATTGAAAAGCTCCGTCGATTTATATTTCGAGAATTTTGTCAATCGAATGAAATAATTGGAACGACTCGCCGCAGAATGGGAGGAAGCTCGAGAGGAGCGACGAAAGATGCACCACCGGCGCCATACGTCATCCGAGAGGGTTTATTTCGTGTAGAAACCACCCTAAAATGGGCCCAGACTAATTTGAATTAGGGAGCCTCGGGCAATTGCCGTAGGATAAGTCTCTACTACAGTCGACCCCCCTATAACACTTGATAATTCCGTTTTATATGAATTCCATGTTCTACAAGACAAATACGCGAGCCGTTCACAGCCCGGCACACGTATTTGTAAAATCTAAGTGACTCGTACAACATGGAATTCATATAAAACGGAATTATCAACAGTGTTATAGGGGGGGTCGACTGTTATACGACGTATAACCGATACTTTATTGCCTGTGACGATCCTATTTTCCAATTGCTAACTTCCAACATAATAATAGAATTATTTAAGCAAAAAGTCTGAGATTGAAAGTGTTTAAACACCTCGCCTTTTCGATTCCAACGCTTAAATTTTAATTAAAACTCGCATTTAATTTCTTTAAGTCCGATAAACTATTAAAAATCTCCGGAATTTTTACATAAATTAATTAGCGTACGGGCGAATGTAAACCCACAAATATTTTAATAATTAGCGCGTATTAAATTTAAAAACTTAATTTTTCGTCACTCGACTGCCGCTCGCTTCTCTTTAATAAACGTTTTCCCTTCCCTTTAGAAATGCTCCCAAAATACGAACTTATTGTAAGCAATTTTTAGGGATTTTAGGATAAAAATAAGCTTAAAAGTCACTTAATGTAGTACGAAACGAAGTACTTAACCGCCTTCTTTAATAATAAATGTTTCTTACCATCCGAAGCATCGCCAAAAAGCGGTCCGGCACTGTCGTAGGTAAGTTCCATGGACTTCACTCCCCAGAATTCTCCATCCTCTTTATCTCTATGTGGCAACTGGAAACATTTCAACAGTTAAACCCGAATTTCTAAGTTATTGTTTACCGATTATACGTTGTACGTACCTTAGAAAAAATAAGAGAATAAGAAAATTCCGACCAAAACATTTGCAAAATAGGATTCTGCGAATTACTGGCACATATGCCTTTCACGTGAGGATTTTTAGGAAGATGGACCACAACTTTCTGCAATAAAAAAGATAAGATACTCAATTTTATCGTCTGTCACGCTCGTATAAATGCATCAAACACGGATCCCTTCACGTATATTATTAATATAAAAGCCGGGTGTAAATTCCTTATAACTCCCGCAATTTTTATCCGATCCGAACGAAATTTTGGTTATATTCGTTTTATGTTTCGACTGAAACAACTTATTTCGAGGAAATATTAGGGTATAGAATAAACGTTTTATCGATTTCGGATGGATGACGGCACTTACAGAAAAAGAGGGGATAACTTCTTCGGCGCCCGAATAATAATAGTTACTCACCTGGTCACCCAAACGGTTTTTGTAGAAAATGGTAAACGTGGCACGAAATTCGGCCAATAAACATAATCTTCCCGTCTTATCCCACATTGGAAATCTGTACTCCCGCATCGGCTCCCACGTGACGGCTTCTGTAGGTAAATACAATCAATTATTTTAGTCTTACAAAATACAAACAAACAACGATTGAATTATTACGTAATCATAAATGAACGGAGTTCGTTTATCGCGCGTAACGAGTAAATTTCTCACATTACCAGCACTACGAGCCCAACTATATCTTTTATATTCAAAGACGTAAAATACCTTTCTGTTCAATCCTCGGATTACAGTAGACCACCCTATAACACTGTTGATTGTTTCGCTTTATTTGAACTCCATGTTGTATGAGTCACTTAGATTTTACGAATACGTGAGCCGCTCACAGCCTAGCACATGCATTTGTAAAATCTAAGTGACTCGTACAACATGGAAGTCATATAAAACGGAATTATCAACAGTGTTATAGGGGGGGGTCGACTGTATACGTACGAAGGGGTGGCGTATATTGATTTGTGCACTGTTCGATTCTAAAACTTACGTATTCGAATAGCGAAAGTTCTCACACGTCAGCGAACTGGTCAATGCGAGTACCAAAAACTAGTTAACCTCTGTTTTTGTCTCGGGGAATACAGAGATCGAGTTATACCGTGATTTGGCTTCTCCGGGAATTTTAATACCGTAATCAATCATTTACTTAAATCTCGTGTTGATAATTAGTTTTCGAATACTCGTTACTAGTTAGTTGCTAATTGCTCCGCATCGGGAAAATTGGCAGCTTTATTTTCATTCTTTTCGCGGATTAGCTCCACCACTTCATCCGATTCCGCCTCTGGTTAATTCCAACCTAGAATAATATTAACCGGGACACGTATATGACCCCGTAATACAGTCCCTCAGGCTCTACCTCGAGACTCGTCTACAATATTCCGTTTCCGTCTTAGACGGGTTCCGCTTATAGCGAGATTCAACGTAGAAAAAAAATCACACCTTTCCGAAGATTTTTATGTATTTTTAAATGGGATTAGAATCGGTTTGGAACAATTAACCACTAAGTCGGTTTTAGAATGTATTAAATTATATCCCCGTTAACTAACTTTTGGGCCGGCGCGTGCTTCGAATCCAAAGATACAACAGCTAATTCCCCCCGAAATTTCTCCTTATCTAATTATATAAAACCCGATCGATATCGCGAGAGTTTCCCTTAAACCGCATCGATTAATTATCCGATAGTCGCTATCCATTATGGTATTTTATTAGAGTTTAAGATTTCTGCCATAGGTGTTGTTAAAAAATCCCCGTATAAATCGATAGGAGAGGCCATTATTTTACGAATTCTCTCCGCGTAATTTCGATTTCCGAGGGAAAATTATACGGAAATCTGCCGTCAATCCGTTTACGTGTCTGGCGCAAATTGTTTCGTCCCCGCCCGGTGTTTTAGCTACTACTGCGTTTTAAAGTACGGCGCGTAACGCGAAAAATTCGTCTGTCCGAAACGGAAAAAACAAATCGAAATGACCTTTAATTAAAATTCCGGAATGCGACTAATCGGATTTTGACAAATTATCTTCTCTCTCGCTTTTTTCGCCCCCCTTCCTCCGTTCTCCTCCGATTAGTGGCTCATTAATTATAAGAAGAGCAAACCGTTCCGGACAGACAACCCGCCGGATGGCATTCTCGATACTCCCGTAAGTGGTGACGTAATTTAAAAAGAGAGGAAAAAAAAAAAAATAGGAAGGAATTCTTACCGGTGGAAGAGACGGCGAGGGTGGTCGTTTCCGTTTCCGGTCGAGTCGTCTCGGGCGTAGTAGTGACGGGAATCGTCTCTCTTCCGGTGACGGCGATCGTCGTCTTCCGCCAGAAGAAAAACGCTAGTTACCAAAGTTCCGAAACACGTGACGCGTAACCGGAATACTTACCGGAACGGTGGGAGGCGAATTGGATTCCGTTAAGTTCAACGGAAAATCGGTCAGGTGGGAGTTTCCGGCTCCGGTTATTTCCAGACCTGGAACGGTAGAAACGGGGATCAGCCACCTCCTTCCGGAAGGGAGGAAGGCGTCAAATCGGAAATCCCCCGTTTTGGCGGCGGATGCGGAAGTTCCCTCGCGCTCGAAAAATTCGGCGGGGAACCCGATCCGACCTTGGTGGGAAAGAGGCCACCCGGCGGAAGAGCGGAGCGCCGATCGATCGGCGCCTCCCCACTCCGGGGTGGAGGCAGAGGAGGTGGTTTTTACTTTTCTCTCGCGGGCGACGAAAATTTTCGGAAGCGTCTCGGTAGACCCGAACTTCCGGCGGAGATCCTCGGCGCCCGAAAGAAAGGGGGACCGAATCCCGCGTACGGGAAGAAGTCCCGGAAAAGCCTCCCGGCTCAAATAACCCCGCGAATAACGCGCCCGTCCCCGAATTACGGAATGCGGACGTCCGGTCCGAATTCGAACCCACCGCCCGTCCGCCCCGGGGGTGGGGCGAAAAGACGGGGGAGGAGGAGAGAGAGAGAGCCGATCCTCCGTTTTCGGAGTATGACTTACCGACCAGCAAAAAAACGACGGTCGCCATGGCGGACCCACCGCAAACCTATGGCGGAATGGACCTCTTCCTCTTACTCTCGCGCAGGCGCCCTCTCTTCTCGCAAACGTCGCGTCGAGAGTATCTCGCCCGGCTCCCTTCGATCGGAGGCGGCCGCCGGCTTTTGGCCGATCGATCCCCAGATTCTTCTTTCTTCCCGGATGCGTCTTCCGCGCCAAATTCGCCTCTCGGCGGGGAACTTCCGGTCGAGGGGAAGGGGAAGTCGGCCAAAGGGTAAGAGCGCGTTGCGTCCGATCCTCCACCGCGCATTAACGCGTCGCTTCCCACACCGCCCACGCAAAACACTCCGATCGCCCGCCCACCCTTTGTCGAAATAACAACAAAAAGAAAGCGTACTTACGTGGGCGCGGGATCACCTTTTAACTTCCGGCCATCGGGATGCGCGAGACCAAAGGCGGGAGAGGCGAGAAATTCCGCGGCAGAAGGAATTAGCCGGAAGGTGGAATTCCCAGGAATTCTCTCCGCTCGATATATTCCGGTCGGGTTAATAAAACTGCTCCTCTCCGTTTGCATTCCGTGCATTTTTGGCCAGGCGCCGATTTTAATTGCCTCTCTCCCGTTCGCCGCCTCTCCACACCCGACGCCAAACACAAGAAAACACAAAGGAGGATTGTTATAAAGATTTATTCTTCCAATCACCTATTCGGATACATACGACAATTCGTCCTCTTCCACCTCTTTCTCAGCCGCGCAATTTTAGTGTTTAAGTACTCTCTTCTTTCCCCCGCCATCTTTAGTCTATCTGTCCGTCTATTTACTGTTTTAAAGAAAGTTTTGACGGGTTCCGGGCGTCGCTAAACTCGGCCCTTTCGGGTGGCGCGGTTGGACGACGGATCGGTGCCCCCATTTGCCTACTCTCGACTCGAAATTCGGCTAACGATTTTCTGGAATGTTCGACTCTGGAATGGTTTCTACACGATTAAAAAATGCCGGCCGTGACCTGACCTCGCTATCCACGACCACAATGGAATTCTAGTCCCAATCCGGAACTTCCGAGATTTCTAGAAAAGCCCGTGACCGCCCACCCTTTCGGAGATAAACGTTAAATCGCTTCCGATTGGACGGTTGTCGAGCGCGAGCTAACGGGAACCACCCATTTCGTTTTTTTCCATTTAAATAACCCGGTTACGCTTTTATGGAAATCGATGAGAGACCACCGACGTGTTTCCACGTAAAAGAATTAATTTTACGTCATACGTAGCGGAGTTTTATACGGGCTTCGTATAACAATAACTGAATAATCGACAGTGCTAATCCCCCTCTCGTGAATTTCTCCTAAAACAGTCGAGATATCACAGAAGTTTCGGAACTGCAGTAAACAAATTCTGCGTGAGAATACCGAAAATATCTTCGCGCCTGTTCCATTGATTCTTGCGAACAGAAGAAACAATCATCTCTTTAAAAGATTTACCAAACTAATAAAGGTTACGGGTAAACAACGCCCCGTCTCCAAGGCTGGCCATCTTGGATTCCTTCCAACGGCACGCGACGTCAAAAAGCCCGTGGAGTGTTTCGATTTCGGACCAAGACGAGAAGAAACTACGCCGTTGTCCGGTTCGAGCCCGGGTGCAACTCACCCAACGTCAACAAAAAAGGCCCACTCCAACACTACACACACCTCTCTGTGTGTAATACATTGGCGGCTGATATCTTAAACGCTTTTAACGCAGCCCAACATTTTTGGGCGGTGCCCGATCGGAAACAATGGACAAAAATAATAAAAAAAAATCTAGATGCAACACGGAAGTTAACCTCGGCCTGTGTATAAATTCATTATATTGCATTTCGCTGCCTGCGAACAATTTTATTCGAAAAGTGAGTAAATTGTACAAAATGATACACAATAAAATTGCTTCGCCTAGAAGTGTGTATGTACTATATATATGTGTATATATATAT